TGATGGGCATTCCTTCAATTTCCAATTCTTTGCCACCACAAAGAGAGCTGCTATAAGTATTTTAGGATATAAGGTCCTTTCCTCTGTCTCTAATCACCTTGGGAAACAGACCTTATTTAGATCTTAGTGGTATTGCTGGGTAAAAGGGTATGTATACACATTTGTATAGCTCTTTGGGTATAATTCCATATTGCTCTACAAGATGGTTGGATCAGTTCACAGTTCCATCACCAGTGAGTTAGTGTCCCAGTTTTTCCATTTCCCTTCCAACATTTGTCACTTTCCCCTTCTGTCGTTTTAGCCAATCTGATAGGGATAAGATGATATTTCAAAGTTGTTTTAATTTGCATTTCTCTAATCAGTAATGATTTAGAACATTTTTTCATATTAATATAGTTTTGATTTCTACATTGGAAAACTGCCTGTTCATATCCTTTGACCATCTATCAATTGGGAATGATTTGTATTCTTATAAATTTGACAAAGTTCTTTATATGTATGAGAAATAAGACCTTTATCTTAGAAACTGTAAAAATTTCCCCCAATTTTCTGCTTTCCTTCTAATCGTGGCTATGTTTGGTTTTATTTGTACATACCTTTTATAATTTAATGTAATAGAAATTATCCATTTTATATCTCACAGTGCTCTTTATCTCTTTTTTATTAGTATATTATTCTATCCATAAGTCTGATAGGTAATATGTTCCAAATTCTTCTGATTTTCTTGTGATATCAACCTTTATATCTAGGTCATGTGTCCAGTTTGACCATATCTTGGTACATGTTGTAAGATATTGGTCTATGCCCAATTTCTGCCAGACTACTTTTTACCAAATAATGAATTCTTATCCCAAAAGCTTTGCATTTGTCAAACACAAGGTTACTATAATCATTTGTTATTGTGTTATTGTATGTCTTTTCTGTTTCACTGATCTACCTTTCTGTTTCTTAGCTAGTACCAGGTAGTTTTGATAATTACTGCTTTTTAATATAGTTTACAATCTAGTGCTATTAAACCTCCTTCCTTTATATTTTTATTCATTAATTTCTTTGATATTCTTGACCTTTTGTTCTTCCAAATGAATTTTATTATTTTTAGCTCAGTAAAAAAAAATTTTTTTTTTTTGGTAATTGAATTGGGTTGGCATTGAATAAATAAATTAGTTTAGGTAAAATTGTCATTTTTGTTATATTGGCTTTGCCCATGAGCAACAATCGGTATTTCTCCAGTTATTTAAATCTGACTTTATTTGTATAAAAAATGTTTTACAGTTATGTTCATATAGTTAGTTCCTGGGTTTGTTTTGGTAGGTATACTCCCAGGTGTTTTATACTATCTACAGTTGTTTTAAATGGAGTATCTTTTACTATCTCTTCTTGCAGAGTTTTATTGGTGATATATAGAAATGCTGATGATTTATGTGGGTCTATTTTAGATCCTGCTACTTTACTAAAATTATGATTTCCACTAATTTTAGTTGAATCTTTAGGATTTTCCAAGTATATCATCGTATTGCCTGCAAAAAAAGAGTTTTATTACCTCATTGCCCATTGTGATTCCTTCAGTTTCTTTTTCTTCTCTTATTGCTATTGTTAGCATTTCTAATACAATATTGAATAATATTGGTGATAATGGACATCCCTGTTTCACCATGATCTTATTGGGAAGGCTTCTAGTTTATTGCCATTACAATTAATGTTTGTTGATGGTTTTAGGTAAGTGCTTCTTGTCATTTTAAGGCAAAATCCATTTATGCCTATGCTTTCAAGTGTTTTTTAATAGAAATGAGTGTTGTAATTTATCAAAAGCTTTTTCTGCATTTATTGATATAATATGATTTTTGTTACTTTTGTTATTGATATAATTGATTATGTTAATAGATTTCCTTATGTTAAACCATCCCTGAATTTCTGGTATAATCCCACTTGGTCACAGTGTATACTCTTTGTAATATATTGTTGTAGCTTCTAACTAGGATTTTATTTAGGATTTTTGCATCTATATTTATTAATGAAATTGGTCTATATTTTTTTCCCTCTATTTTGGCTCTTCCTGGTTGAGGTATTAGTACTATATTGGTTTCATAAAAGGAGTTTGAGAGAACTCTTTTGCCTATTATTCTAAATAATTTATTTAATATTAGAATTAGTTGATCTTTAAATGTTTGGTAGAATTGACTTGTAAATCCATCTGGTCCTGATGCTTTTTCCTTAGGAAGTTCAATTATGGCCTGTTCAATTTCATTTTCTAAAATAGGTTTAGATTTAGATATTCTATTTCCTTTTCTGTTAGTCTAGTTAATTTATATTTTTGTAAACATTCATCTATTTCATTTTAATTGTTAAATTTATTGGTATATACTTGGGCAAAATAACTCCTAATGATTGCTTTGATTTCATCTTCATTAGTGATATAGTCACCCTTTTCATTTTTAATACTAGTGATTTGGTTTTCTTTCATCTTCTTAAAAAAAATCATATTAACCAATGATTTAGCTATTTTACTGTTTTTTTCCCCCACAAAACCAACTCCTAATTTTATTTATTAATTCAGTGGTTTGCTTACATAGTTTTATTAATCTCACTTTTAATTTTTAGGATTTCCAGTTTGGTATTTAATTGGGGATTTTTAATTTATCCCTTTTCTAGTTTTTTAAATTATACACCCAATTCATTGGTCTGTTCTTTCTTTATTTTATTGATGTAAGCATTTAGAGTTATACATTTTCCTCTCATTACCACTTTTGTTGCATCCCGTAGGTTTTGGTATGTTGTCTCATTTTTATTATTCTTTTTGATGAAATTATTGATTGTTTCTATGATTTGTTTTTTAACCCACTTATTCTTTAAGATTAGGTTGTTTAGTCTCCAATTAATTTTTAATCTGTGTTTCCATGGTCTCTTATTGAATATAATTTTATTATTTTGTGATCTGAAAAGGATGCATTTAATATTCCTTTTCTGCATTTAACTGTAAAGTTTTTATGCCCTACTATGTAGTCAGTTTTTTTTTTTAAAGCTACCACGTACCACGTAGGAAAAGGTATATATATTCACATTCAGTTTTCTCTAGATATCTATCATATCTAGCTTATGTAAGATTATATTCACCCCCTTGACTTCTTTCTTATTTATTTTTTTTTGTTAGATTTATCTAATTCTGAGAGGGGGAAGTAAATGCCTCCCATTATTATGGTGTAGCTATTTATTTCTACCTGTAATTCATTTAACTTTTCCTTTAAAAATTTTGATGTTATAGCATTTGGTGCATTTGGTTTAGTACTGATATTGCTTCATTGTCTATGATTCTTTTTTTCATAATGTAGTTTCCTTGTTTATCTCTTTGAATTAAATCTATTTTAGCTTTAACTTTGAGATCATGATTGCTACCCTGGCTTTTTTTTTTTTTTTTGCATTGGCTTTAAACATAGCTTTATTTCTTATTTATTAATTATAATAATAATTATTAACTTTTGCATATGTCTCATTTTTAAATGTTTTTCTTGTAAACAACATATTGTTGGATCCTGATTTTAATCCATTCTGCTATCTGTTTCCATTTTATGGGTGAATTCATCCCATTCACTTTCAAAGTTATAATTACTATTTGTCTATTTCCCTCCATCCTATTTTTCCTCACTATTATCCTTCTCATCCTCTATTTTTACCCTATCCCTCCTCACAAGTCTGATTTGCTTCTACCACTACTTCCCTAATCCGCACCCTTTTAAAAAATCCCTCCCTTATCCTCTCCCCCCACACTTCTTGATCTACATACCCTTGTAAAGTCCTTGCCTTATCCTTTGCCCTGTTTTCCCAGTTCTTTATAGATTTAGAAGACATTTTTGTCACTCTTCTAGATGTGTATGTTATTCTCTCTTTAACCTAAGTCTGTGGGAGAATTTAGATGAGCTCAATAATTCCTGCCTTAATCTACCATCTTCTGATTGTATTATTTTGTAATCTATATCTCTCCATCTTCTCTATAAGAATAGTATGAAATAGTATTTGGGACATGTTTTGATAAAATCTAGGTTAACTATATGCACAGACTTCACCTCATATACTTGTTTAATAATTATGTCAAAAAATGATTTTTTTTTGGTTCATGTGGGTTCTAGATATAGACACGGTGTATGTTTTGGTAGGTAAAATGCCCAAATATTAGGTAAATTTGGCTATTACTGTATATGATATTTCTCTTTCTATAAATTTCTCAGTTCTTTTTGTTGCAAAGGGAACTCTGTCTACCAACATAGAAGCACTGTGTTATATTGCATATAGTGCTAGACTTGGGAGTCAGAAAGACTTGGGTTCAAATCCTCCCATTGACACTAATTTTGTGAGCAGTTCACTTATCCTCAGTATGCTTCAAGCCACCTTTCCTTTATTTATTAAGTAATAGATGAGCTGTAGTCTGCATTCGTGGAGAGAATTCTTACACGGGGAGGTCCCACAAATTGACTTTCCATTTTGCATAACATTTGTAGGGAATCAGTAGAACATTTTAAAACTTAAAAATTTTAATTAGCTTCTCTTTATGCATTTGACACTAGAGGAAATGTAAGTTTTGGGGGCATAAATATGAAAAAGATTTTCTGCTCCAAATATGTAAAGGCTAGTAGGAGTAGAGAGAGTTCCTTAGAAGGGCAGTCTTGGGAAGTTAGAAAGCTTTCCAGTTCCACTGACTTATCAGTTCCTTATTTTGTTAAAAATATTCTAAATTTCTACAATATCAGACAAAGTCATATTCAAAGATAAATTTAAAACACATTTATTTCAAAGAGGATTATTTTAATTGACCTTTTCACTAGCACAGATAACTTGATTGTAAGTAGTTCTCAAGTTATGTAGAATCTCAGTAGTATAAACTGTAACCCTAACTGTTCTTAGAAAATTTTGTTCTTGCCATGTGAACACAAACATTTGGTTGTTTTTTGTTTGTGTATTACATGATTTTCAGTCAGAAAAAAAATTCATGTAACTTTTCTGTGTTTCAGAAATTTTTTTCCAAAAAGGACAAAGGAACTGAAATCTGCTGTCCATAGTGCTCCTGGCTGGAAGTTATTTGGTAAAGTCCCACCCAGAGAGAATCTGCAGAAGGCTTCTAAAATTATTCAGCAGGTAAGACTTGATATATCCATGTGGTTTGTCCCAACTTAACAAAAGATACGCCTTTAGATATGCTGTTAACAGTGCTCTTACTTTTATACTGTCCTTCTCAATTCAGTTTCAAGTCTGTGTAATTATTTATATGAAAGAGTTAATACTTAAAAAATAGGAATATTGGGGCAGCTAGGTGGCACAGTGGATAGAGCACTGGCCCTGAAGTCAGGAGGACCTGAGTTCAAATCCGGCCTGAGACCAAACACTTGACACTAGCTGTGTGAACCTGGGCAAGTTACTTAACCCCAATTGCCTAACTATATATATATATGTGTGTGTGTGTATATATGTATATATGTATATGTATATATGTATGTATATACGTATATATGTATGTGTATATATATGTATGTATATATATGTATGTGTATATATATGTATGTATATATAATGAATATTTTTTCCTTTCTAAAATTTTGGCAACTTAATTGGAAGAGCCAGGATTTGTACTCCACATTGATTTTCGTGAGCCTAAATAAACGTTTTTTCCACTCATCTACATCTGGTTTCTCATTAAGCCTGGCCTCAGGAATGAGGATTTTCTAGTGTTTGGTATTTGTAAAACACTAACAACATAGTACAAGCCAAATACAATGAGACATAGTCAGCTGCACTTCATCCCTCTTTGGTGACTTTGGTGTCCTAGGCATTCTTCTAACCCACAAGGGAAACTGAGCAGTCATACAAACTCTTCTTTATGATTTACAGTTGGTTAGACTTTTCTTTAAATATCCCTGAGACCATATGATCTCAATAATTTCAGGCTTACCTTTGAGTTCTACCTTCACTTCTTAATATTGTGCTACTTAATAGTAAGACAATATAGCCCTGAACTCTGGAAGCCGTAGAATCCCAGGAGACATCAGGGAATGAATAATCTGTAGTCTCTGAGTTCAAGTGATTTTTATCACAAGGAAATATAAAAAATACGTCTACTTCTAATTATAGTTGTACTCTGATTTAACCCAGTTCAATATGCCAAAATTTACCCAAAAGGGTGAATTAGCACAAATTGAAAATTAATTTTCTTTGTTACAAGATTCATAGGACTGCTCCCTTAGTTGCTTAAAAGGTCCATCTGATTTCTCTTGGTAAGGGAAATTATTGGTATATGATATTAAAATGCATTTAAATTATTTTTTGAAGAGTCAAATCTTTAAAATCATGGAGACAAATTTATAATTGCAGGTGCTTAAAACTCATTGACTTTTTAATAAAGTCATTCCTGTTTGGGAAATTACTGATGACTCTCTTTGGCTGGCTGTCCACTCCGCCAAGTGACTCGTCCAGGGACAAGATTAAGGACTTGGGTCTGGATTTACCAGGGTCTTATTGTGCCAGCATTCTTTGACATAGGATACTATGTTTTAAGTATGTGTGCATATATTTTTATTCCTCGTCGGAATCTAACCTATTGTAATGACATTTCTCTACTCTAAATCACATATGTCATAAACTATAACTATCTGTATTTGTAGACAAATTGCATTCCTTTCATCAGCTTTTTTTTTTCCAAAAGACAGGATTTCACATTCTGTTTTTTGCTCACAGATTTTATATTAGCGATTTGAAAATTATAAAGCAAAGGATTACTGTCTTTATTTCTGGACTGATTCATCCTTGCTCAAATTACTGTTTTCCATATGTGCGAAAGAGAGATAGAAGAATTGCTAAGGGATCGTTAAAAAGTGCTGTCCATTGTTTTTTTTTTTTTTTTTTTTTTGGTCCTTACCAAAATGGCACATTTCTTTTACTAACCTCAGTTTCCGGTACAAAGCTTTCCTTTGGGAGTAACCTTCTCTCATATGTTGTTGTCTTTCTTGTAGCCATGGGTAGAGACTTGGTCTGTGAAACTGAATGACTTGTATTACTTGTACAGTAGGTTCTGGCATATATCTTTCATTTTTCTTCTCTTATTGGTTTCAGAGTATTTTTTGCTTGCACCAGGTAGGCAATACTAAGATTGAGAATATCTTTCCTTTTCCCTTTCCCTCAGTATTTCTCCTTTTTCTTCAATTCCTGTCATCTCCCTAGTTGTGCATCTTCCTTCTTTTTCATATATTTGTCTTTCTAGACATGTATTTTTCAGTTGATGGTTTTATAAATTGTTGTATTCTCCTCTCTGCAGTGTAATGTGATAATTTTATCAGTTTAATAGGTATTTCCTGGGGTTGAAAAGCTTGGGGGGGGGGTGGAGCTTACAACTGAAAAACTAATTGAAAATGAAATTACCTCTAAAACAACCAAGAAGAGAGGAGTGAATATGGTAAGTTTCAACACAAAGTCTTGTGTTATTGAGCCCATAGGAAGTGAAGAAAACTAGGATCTCAAAGAGAAAACAACTGTAACAGAGGTGAGGAATTCTCTTTGCTTTGTCTGGAAAAGTGTGGTACACCTGAATATATTCATGGCTAGAAAACTTTGCGCTTTTTTTTACCATCTCATTTGTGATCTCTTAATGGTGACAATAGTCAAAGTTAAGGTAAAAGTAGATTAGAATGAGCATTTCATTAGATTTCTCTTAAAGCAGATGCTTAAATGTTTAATGCACTAAATGTCATTCTTAGCATGGCCTAATAGAGTGCCAGACTTGGTGCAAGGAAGACCTGAGTACAAGTCCTACCATAGTCTCTTACTGTGAAAAATAAAGGCAAATTACATAACCTCCCTGAGCCTTGTTTTCCTCATATGTAAGATGGGGGTGATAATCGTAATGTCTAACTCACAGGGTTATTAAATGAGTCTCAGATTTACACACACACACACACACACACACACACACACACACAAAACTTTGCAAATGTTAAAACACTACTATATTAGTGTAAGCTATTTATGTATATAAAGTAAATGGAAAAAATAAGATTTGACTTACTCTGCATTTTTGTATACTGACTTTGCAGGTACATACCTGATTCACAGAATGAGTAGTGCTTTGTGTATGATTCTCTCATGCACATTGTACATTTTGCATTATAGTTACCTTTATCTGGGTCATAACCCTTTATAAACTGTAAGCTTCACGAAGTAGTATGTCTTATCTAAACTTTGTATTTAGTTGAATTGAATTGACATTTGTGGGTTAAAAATCCTTTTAATTTCTATCACAAGTCTTATTGAATGGCTATCTTTATTTTACATTACCACTAAAAAATATTAGTAAAATAGATCATCTTAAGGCTAGGATGGAAACTAAAACCATATAATTTACTATCTTCTGAAGATTGATTCCCGAGTCCTACCTGTCAGTGTTATCATTTTATGGGGATTTTCGCATGTTCTCTCTTACAGGTGTGAAATTCCTTCTTTTGGCCTGTTTTTGAACGGGTGGGTGAGCCATGTTACAAATTGTATCTATTAATTATAAACAATACCTGGCTAGATTAAAGTTCATCCAAACCAGGCTTTTGGTTATTTTCCAAATTAAAATCTAAGAATTTCCATCTACACCTGAGTAGTTGTGAGGACGACTTCAGATTAGCTTGATAATAATATACTTCTGCAGCTTACTTTGTGATTGAGCCTCCGTAACGCTGGATTGATCTTGTCTTTACATCATGCTGAATTGACAACCAGTTTTTTTCTGATAAGCTAACTTCTTTGTGTCTAGCCACAGTTTGTGTACTTATATCTTTAATGTTATAAAAACAAATCAAAAGTGGTGATTACATGGCAAATTTTTTTCACGATACTACTCCTGGAGGAACCTTTCATGTTCTGAATAATGTTCTGAGAGATTGAATCAATAAAATAACTGGTATCCAGAAAGCTTGTACTATTTCTGCCAGTCACTAAATTTGATTTCCAGGGATGAGTACTTTTCCTGTTTTCAGGTAAACCTTTGTTCTGAAATTATCTTTCTTTAAAGTTATAATATGATTATACTAATCAGAACATGTTTTAATCCATATTTTAGCTTGTGTATTGGAAGTAATAGGTAAACAACACCATCGAAAAATCTATGGTCAAATATTCTAGTCACCAAAGGATTTATTTTATTGGTGCCTAAAGTATTAGTATATATGTATGTATGTGTGTGTATGTATATATGTATCTATCTATAAAAAGTCAAGTTGACCTTTTGTTGAAATATTAATGCTTGCCAGAGTATCCATATCAGCATTTTAGAACAAAGAAGGGCCACCAGGATTGCCATAAGATGCTTTAGAGAGATTCTGGCAAACAAGAAAATAATCTTCATCTAATTGAAAGGCCACTTTGGTTGTTTTCTAGTTGCATCATCTAGCAAGGGGGCACTTTTTATTCTTTCTTTGGTGCTGGGCACTGGATCAGAGTAGCCTCTGTGTTTTCTGTTCCTCCTTTGCTATTCAAAGGGATAGCAAAATGCTTGGGCCAAAGAGGCCACAGATTTGCTTGCATAGCTAGTGAATCAGAGGACCTTGACTGATCTTAGATTCTGAGGTATACTTTTCCTTCCTTCCCTCTTAATAACAAAATTCTGGCAAAAATCAAGAGAAAGAATGGCCAACTTATTCTGATAATCCTAAACAGATTGTTCCCTTCAATCTTATTTGATTTTTTTTTTTTTATCAGTAGAAGGCTCTTTCCACCTAAATCCTTACCTTACTTACTACTCATCATTAAAGTCCTATCCTTCACCCAGACATCAGGACTTAACCCAGACTTCTACCTTTTTTGCTTTATCTCTAAAAGTTGTAGAAGTAGTTATGCCATTATCTTCCCAAATATCAAAAGTAATTCTGCATACCCCTGTACTATCCACCTACATTCCTGTCAAACTGGATTGTTGCCTGTTCCTCAAGTTCAGCATACTCTTTGCTGCCCCCTTAGAATGCACTCTCATGTCTCTACCTTTGAGAAATCTCTTTCCTTTGAGGATTTGGACCAGTGCTATTTCCTCCATGGAGCTTTCCATGATCTTGACCAATTAAGTAGTATTCTTTTCCTCAAATTTTTAAAAAGCGTTTTGTCTGGGT